ATCCATCTATCTATCTATCCAACTATCTATCTATCTATCTATCTGTCTGTCTTTCTGTCTGTCTATCCATCTATTCAGTCCATTCATCCACCCATCTGTCAGTCTATCTATCCATTCATCTATCTATCCATCCAAGTTTCCCTGGTGTGTATAACTTCTTTGTCCTGTGAGTCATATTATTTTTATAGCTAACTGTTCTACCATGTGTCAGTGAGGAATGCAAAGTATCACAGATCATCAGTTAGCTCATTAGCTTTCTGATAAACACTCAGCTCAATTAGGAATGATAATAAGCTATGTTTCAGTCCAAAAAGACACCAGGCAGAAAGTAGTTCCCTCCACAATGTGACAAGTGTCTGGCAAAAGGGAAAAAATGGCAGGAGGGAAAATTCTGAATGTCAAGGAATCCATTTAACAGTCTTTTCTTCTGGCAGTCAGTTCATCTGACACATTGTTGAGGAATCAATAGATAGCAGAAAAGCTGTTTGGGGAAGCAGTTGGCAGCTGACATCCACCACTGTGAAAGCATGAAATCCACATCAGTTTCAGGACGTCCAGCGAGCGACAGGGGAAGGAGGCGGGTGGCTCTGCTGCGAGGGTTTGAATGATTCTATCTGTTGTGATCTGAGATGTTGTCACACACACACATACACAGTGACAGCATATATACATCAGCAGATCATCATGGTCCTGACACGAGGAGCTACTCAAGCCCCTTACTGTCGGATTCTGCTCCCAGGACATCCTTGTCAACTACAGTGACATGTCACCCCCACACCAGCATCTTCATGTCTGGTGTGGAAACTCTCCGCTACAACAGCAGACTGAGGCCACTGGTGTTACTGTTGAATTATAAGTCATCTTGTTCATCTTAATGGTTCAGTGTGGAAGATTTAGGTGAAAGGACTTTTTGGCAGAAATTGAATATAAAATAATCCCAGTGATGTTTTCACTGGTGTGTTTCATCTAAATTGTATGAATTGTTTTTTTCTTTAACATAGAATGGGCCCTT